ATTTATTTATTTATTTATTTATTTATTTATTTATTTATTTATTTATTTATTTATTTATTTATTTATTTATGGATTGTATATCTTGCTATAAATGAACTGACAAGATGTTAGTGCGCACTATCTGCCTTATTCTCAGATCTCACTTCTTTTCAAGGCGCGTCATAAGCTAATAAATAACTTACAAGAGAACATATCAAACATAACATTGTTTAATGCATTTTATTAACAGGAAGTTAAAAGCATAATAGAAAGTATTGGACGTGATCATAGTCGTGCGGTTAAATTTCGCAGTAAGAGTTGGTACAGTACTAAAGGCCTCCCTGTAATGAGAGACCACTTAAAACGAGTTGATATCAGTGTGAGTTCAAGCATTTACAATATTAATAAACATGATACATTAATACATTATGATGTTTTACACAGATTGAGAAGAAATCAAATTAGGCATTAGAAGTTAATAAATTGTTGACATTGTGATCGACTCTTAATGGTGATAGAAGAAACAATATGACTATCATGTTATTGGTATTCATCATTTTCCCCTCACTCAATGTCACTTGGGTGTTGGATTCAATAATTAGGGTTATATGATAATGTTTTTCACCCCGAATATTTGGTTGACAACATACAAAGTGCCTGTTACTGTGTATTGTTTATGGAGAACATTATAAAAGATTGTCACCATGATCTCATCAGCTCAAATTATGTTGTTATTATAATTATCTTATTCAATTAATTGTTTATTTGTTTCTGTAAAGACTGAAATCATTGAAATTTGTATATTTAAGTATGGTGGTAATATGGGATGTTGTTTCACTACTGCACAGCTGCATACATGCAAAACATGCCGGGGTGTTAGTATGTATTTATTTCACATAATATTCAATATAGGTGATACAGAATATTGTACATTGGTTAGGGGGTGGCGGTTGTGTCCAATAATGACAAGAATCAAAACAACCATCTAACTAGTTAAACTAGTCTTGCTGACAAAAACAGATATAACAATGCACAAAGAATGTCTGTTCTGGAATGTATACATATTATTTTTTTCAACCATTGCTCCCTGGTACACATTGCAATTTCATGCATATAACATGCACGAATCAACCAATAACTTATATTTCTTGACAATTTGTACAAACATAGGTCATACTTTGAAGTTTTTTTAGTTATGAATAAAACTTTATTTTACTCAGTAACAATTCAAATATCTATATATACAAGTATGTTCTGAATGATTTGAATACAATTCAAACTTCTGAATAGTTACATTATTCGACAGTGCATAATGCATCATTACAAGGGTGTACAAGGGTGTGCCTAACGGGCGGCCACTCTCATAATGAATTCGTTTGACTTTCGCTGTTTTTTAGTCAACATACCACTGGTGTTCCGTGAACTACTTAACGTGATTTCAGTACACAGAATAACAGAATAATAGAAAATAATAACAGAAAACCCAGTCACGTTCAAGAACATTATATAACCAGAAATCAACAATTTCAAATCTGCTGTTGGAATGCACATTCTCTCCGCAACAAAGCTTCTGACTATATAACTTAACACAACATTTATGCAATAGGAATTACTGAATCCTGGTTAAAAGATCCTGGTGATGAACCAGTCATTAGGGAAGTTAAACCGGCTAGTTACTTCTAGAGTCACAGTTGTCTTGACCCCATCACAACACATCTTCTCAAGAAGCTTCAAAGTACAATTATTCCTCCAATCATATATTCCTCCAATTATATACCTCGCGCTTTACCATGGAATTGTCCCTCCTTCCTTTAAATCTGCTATTATAACACCTCTTCTAAAGAAATCTTGATAATGATATTCTCAAGAATTACAGGCCAATTTCCAATCTGCATTTTATCTCAAAAGTACTTTAATGTTAGCCATACGACTCATACATATGTTTCCACAAACTCACTCTTCAAACTACTACAGTTCGCTTATAGACAGTTTCACAGCACAGAAACGGCACCCCTCAAAATTCACATTGACATTTTAACATCACTTGATGCAGGACAATATGTCATTCTCGTTCTTTTAGAATTATCAGCTGCTTTTGACACTATAGATCACACTATTCTTCTTGATCGTCCACCCACTTTGGGCATACATGATCTTGCCCTGTAATGGTTATCTTTATATGTAATAAACATATATCAATCCATCACCAAATGCAGTTACACAAATGGAACATTGTCTACATGAAGAAGTAGATGACACAAGCTATAACATAACATGTATGATGGAGAAACAGTTTTGCTCATTTGACCCAAATTTGACCATATTCCTAGCCCTGTCAGCAGTGTCCATGTTAATTCTACAGTCATCGAGCCTGTCACAGCTGCACAAAACCTTGAAGTTATATTTGATAAAACTTATTATCAACACTTGCCAAACTTCAACATTGGATGTATAGATCAAATTCGACAATATCTACAGAGACTTGCCTCAAGCTGACTCATTCAACTTTTGTCACTAAACGGGACTAGTACAATGCTCTGCTATATAGCTTACCAACTGCACAGCTAAATCAGTATCAAAAAGCCCAGAATAGTGCTGCTTGTATCATTACTCGCACACAAACTTTGATCATATAACACCAATACTTCAACAATTGCACTGGCTTCCAGTCACTCACAGAATCCAATTCAAAATCCTCCTCAGTACTTACAAAGTATAAGTGGGCTCCACCATACATTTCGGATCTCGTACAGCAAAGTAATCTATTCGCTCTAGCAACAAGCGATTACTCAAAGTATCAAAACGAAACTTAAATCATACGGTGACCGATCATTCTCACATTCATCTCCTTCACTATGGAATCATTCACCAAATTACATTCGCACAGCACCAAACGTTCACACATTCAACCCCAGATTAAATAATAATAAATGCTCAAATGATCGCAAGGCGTTTCGAATGTAATTAAAATATACTCAAGTCAATGGTGATGATGATGATGATAACATTGTTGTTTCGTTATTAGCTTGATGATGTTGATGGATTGAACATAATTCATGTAAGTGGTACAAAGGGCAAAGGTTCTGTGTCTGCTTTTTGTGAAAGTATATTACGAGCAACTGGGTTCAAAACAGGATTATACAGGCAAGTAACTATGGGGTGAGAATACCGCCAAAGTTAGCTTGTTGTCATTATTTGAACATTGTTTAGTTGTTTGGTCTTTATTTGGAAACTTGTTTGGTTATTATTTGGTCATTATTCGGTTATTTGGTCTTTATTTAATCATTTTGCGCTTATTACATTATTGTATTACTATCGTTTCATTATTACAACTTTATTTCTTAATTATTTAATTATTGTATAATTGCTACAATATTATGTTGTCATTGTTTCATTATTTTACAATTGTGTCGTCGTTATTTAGACATTATCTTGACATTCAATTATCATAAGATTCGGTTATTTTCACGTCCAAATGTCTTGACATTCGGTTCGCTTGTCTTGCGAATACCTCAACATTCGATTACCTGACCTAAAATTAGCTGACCCAACTATACATGTAGTATTCAATCCATAGTCCCGGGCCGCCTCCGATAAAGCATTGCTCGTGATGGCAATGTAGCCTTTGTAAAAGCTAGCGGGGATTTCTAAATGATGGCCGTTTCATCAACATCCAGGGAACTGACTGAGGTCGTCAGAGCCTGTCGTTACGAAATATCAAATGCCGCAAAACTTGTTGTTGACACGACGCGCTCCAAACGAAATTCGCGAGAGATGATCCGACTTGATCATTAGATGATGACCAGAATGTGCCAAGAACCAATCACAAGACTGGTTACCAAGCTAATTTTGGCGGTATTCTCACCCCATAACTAACAATATTAACTGTCATCAGATCCATTGGTACAAAAAGAATGAGTATCAATGAATCACAATCTGTTAATGTTTGTCAAATTATTTGAGCTGTGAGTGTTGAACTATTATTTGAATGTTTTTTTTTTAAAAGCTAAAACACATGTTGCATTATCGTAAGTACTATAACGAAGTGTTTCAGCTTTCACATTATACAAGCCACTTTAGCTATCGTCTACTGGTAATTTCGCTAAATCCAGATGTAGCTGATTTAGCAAAATTTTCATAAAAATACATAGTCCGAATCCCACGATTTCGCTAAAGCCGGCAATTCATAAACGACCCACGAACCCGTGCGTGATCGCTGTATTTTACTGCAGTTAAATTGTGTCATTTGATTGGGCGCGCCAAGGAGCTGGCACCACCAATCAGAGTTGCTGTATCATTAATTTAAACGTCTGGGGTCATCACAGAATAAAACAATGGCGGCGTGCAGGCTTTGCGCTAATCACTGCCAGTCAAGAACAAAATGTTTTATTGCAACGTTGAAAATTGCTTTTGGGCAATTGAATGACGACGATGGAATGTCTAAACATTTGTGCAAACCGTGTTTTATTAAACTGACAAATCTGTCGAAACTGATAACATATCCACTTGCCCGATCCGGTCTTTGTTGCAACAAACCACGGTTACTAGTTCTAGCAACCATGAACAAACACATCATTTCCCTCAGATACAGCACTGAGTGCTTTCTTCTAATGATCAGTAAGCTCATTCACCGTTCGTTGATTTCTATATTCCACTATTTTAAATTTACCAAGTATGTATCGTTTCTACCGTGAGTTCTGATTGGGTAATACAAATAAGCCCAATTGAATCTTATCGTTTGAGGGCGTGCAGTAAATCGTGGTGAAATCTGCCAAGGGCTAATGTTGAGGCTTCGGCCGAATAAATGGTCCTTGGCTGGAAGATGATAAAAATATTGCAGACAATTTTGCTAAATTACAATTGAGTTTATTCTAAAGTGTATCTATGTACTATTATATATATTATTATTTCTAGCTCACCACATTTGGTAGAATTACTTGAGCGAATCCGTATCAATGGTTTAACACTGACAAGGGATGCTTTCAGTAAATATTTCTTTGATGTCTACAATAAATTAGAGTCAACAAAATACGAATATCGTGAAACTATGATGAGTCAATTCAGATTTATGACACTAGTGGCATTGAATGTGTTCATACATGAAAAGGTAAGACCTCAAGAATATTACTCTATTGCACATACATTAAGATGAAACAAAGTAATTATTATTCAACATACCATAGATAGTCATATAGGCAAAAAACACTCAAAACAAACGACAACGATTGACAAAACAAAAACAACGGACAAGTACACTATACTACATAATGAAATCAGTAAAACAAAGATATGTGGATTCCATGGTATATAAGAAGTGAGGTGTTTCGAAAAGAGTGAGATTTATAAGGAATCGTTTCACAGTAAGACACACTTCGATGTAAGAGTGAATGTTCCCTGTGATCACTTTTATTTTAAAAATGAAAATTGGGTAAATGGTTGCCCTAATCCAAATTTAAATCGATCAATTTTCCCTGTGCTACTCACCATGTCATAAAATAATGTACGCTTAATGACAGTCGCACTCACAAGCAAAAAGTCATCCTGTCCTCAATTCAGATATTTAGAACTTTTCAGGAATTCTTTATCAAGGGAGTGTGTTAAAATATAATGTACGCTTATTGACATTTCACACATTATATATGCACTTAATGATGGTAATTGGCCTTTAAAATGTCACGATTGGTTACCCTTTAAAATTCGTTGTTTGGCCCAATAAATATAGTTTGTATTGAATACAGAAAATGATATATTTTGTAGTTTTAAATCCATTCTAACATTTTATAGGCAATCCTCAGACTCAGACTATTATATACTAACATAATTCCGATAAGACGTTCAACGATAGCAATTGGGTTCCAAAACATAAACACGTGGCCCATTAAAAAGAAATAGAAAAACCAGAGTGATACCGAGAGGGATCCAATCTTTACATAAACTTATATATACTATTCGAACATAACAGTATCACAGACCAGGCATCTACAATTATCAAATAAGCAAAACATAAATTATTTGAATATACTAAGTTGCAATTCTGTGTGTACGATTAGAAAGAACAAGGTGCATTGTGTGGTCGCGAGTTTTAACCCTGTGGTATACTATCAATATTCAGTTTATAAATATGTAAACTGTATTTGTGAATATATTTCTAGGTTGATGTTGTCATTCTTGAAGTGGGCATTGGTGGCGCTTATGATTGCACCAACATTGTGCAAAGCCCGAGAGTGGTTGGCATCACTTTATTGGACTTGGATCATACAGATTTGTTAGGAGACACGATTGATAGCATAGCATGGCACAAAGCTGGAATATGCAAGGTGAGAATTACATTTACAATCGGCAGACAATTTAATCACCAATGACAAATTTAAAAAAAATCACTGAAAATATTGCGGTTTTTAATTTGTTTGTAATATGAAACAAAACATATGCACGCACTATTGTTTTGTGGAATATATTATTATACTTGTCGCGAACATTTCTTTCTACACATGTTTCTATTTCGATGTCAACAAATGTTTGTGTTACAGTATATCTGCTTCATAAAACTCTTCTATGAACATTAAAAACATGTTTTATCTATCAGCCTGGCCGACCAGCTTTCACAATCCCACAAGTAAAGGAGGCCATGGATACAGTGAGACGTAGAGCCAATGAAATACACGTGAGTGTAAATATATCAATTACAATACTCAGATTGAATTGCAATGATTGGCGGAATCATTAACTGAAATATACATTAGAATAAATCATTCAAGAACATTGTCGCGTATTACAAATTATTCACTATTGTCATTCAACAAACAACTCCAGATTGTTCTTACGTATATGCCATGTTTACAGGCGCCGATTCAGATTGTGCCCGACTTGGATGATTACGATTGGCAAGGGAAGCCAATGAAGCTTGGACTTGCTGGGGAACATCAACGTATTAACGCATCTTTAGCAATACAGTTATGTAGGACATGGATAGAAGAACATAACCTACGTACGTACTTATGTTGCACATGTTCACGTGATATGTTTCCTTTGCTTCAACATGACTAAATAATTGATTCAGCCACAACTGATACTTGTATGCTATTTTAAGTTTTCATTTTCAGCATTTGCATGATATCCTGATAGTCACGTTATTTCGATTCATGTTTCATACACATTAAAATTGCGCATTTCCTGTGCTACAAATGATCTTCCATTGTCTTGGTCAGTTTTGCGATTTTCGTGCTGATACATTTGCACATATAATAAAGAGGTATTTTGTGAGTAATGTCGATGACAACGTGTGCCATTGCTTGCAGCAATATTGATTATATAAATATTGCTTCGTGCAACATCACACATTATCTTCAGTATTTCCTGTATATATACAACATGAAAAACATTTACGTATTTGGGGAAAGTTCTTATTTGATTTGTATAGAATTTTATTTTATATACGTTAACTGGTTGGCAAGGTTTTCAGTAAAACGAGAAAAAACAAATTAATAATTATTTGTAATTTAAATAAGGAACAATATACAAATAAGGAAATTTCCCACCTAAAGATCTATATAAAATTATATAGGTTTTACTCCGCTAGATCACTCAGACAAGAGAGCAGGGTTTGGACATACTAATACATATAGCATGGATGGCAACATTCAGACAGCTTCAGCATTCAAGTTACCAGCCACGTTTATATCAGGTAATCTATAATAATAGTTTGGTTAGGTATTAATTTCAATGTAGAATAATCAATTCACTTATATATCTGCCACCGTAACGCCACAAGTTGCAGCATGCCGTGATTTTTTGGTATTGCACTGGGTATTTGCATCCTCCTGCTGTACTGTCTTCGTACATACTTTGCGGTATCCTCGTAATAACCTCATATTAATTAGTATTTTATTTGTTCTTACTATGACATGATTCTGATTCCAAAGGACTTCGCGACTGTTGCTTGCCAGGGCGTACACAAATCATAAAACATGACAATGTCACATACTATCTGGATGGAGCCCATACACCAATGAGTATGAAGGCTTGTGTTAAGTGGTTTAAAGAAGCATCGGCAGAAGAAGAACAAATTCTTAAGTATGTATTGAACATGATTGTTATCTAGCAAAAAAATGACATATATTGTGTGTATGAATAAAAGCAGTTCAAAATACAGAACAAAACTAAAGACAGTTTGCGCTAACCATCTTTGTACTGAAGTAAATAAATAAATAAATAAATAAATAAATAAATAAATAAATAAATAAATAAAATGAATGAAACCCCAATCGGATGTTTTCTATCTCACATTGGTATTATACCGCTGTACATCACTGTTTGCTACCAATCACCACTCACAGAATCCAGATTCCTGAAAATGTTCAATTCTGACATTGGCTATATTGACAGCTACAATGCTACACATTGA